AAAAAGACAAAAAAAAATAATGTAATAAATACAAAATGGATAAACTTGGAAAAAAAAAAAAAAGAAGAGAGTGGGAGGCAGGGGGCGGCCAAGCACAGCTGGCGGAAGGGGAGGGTTTGGGAAGGAAGGCAGCGGTCAGACCTGTGAGGCCTTGTAGCCACATTACGGAGTTAACTGTATCCTCGTATCTACAGAGGTTGCTTAATCATTATGTTCCAAATGAAATGAGCCCAGGAGGCAGAATATTACTTAAAATGGGGGAGGGAGGGTGCGAGGGAGGAAGCTCAGTCCGCAAGAATAAAAGGCAAAGGAAAGGATGTGATAGAATAGTAGTTTTCAGACTTCAGCGTAAATAAGAATAATCTGTATGCCTTTTTAAAATGCGTACTTCTGGCCCTCAACTTCAGAGATCAGGTTGCATTTTCTGCATTTCTGTGACCACTCAAGTGATTCCTTCCGATGTGGGTAGAAGTGACTTCATTCGGTGAAATATAGGTCTAAACAATTAATTTTTCCTAAAAAAAAGCAAACACATTTTTATGATAGAGATAAAGCTGAGTGACTACAAGAGGAATAAGTAGACATACAGACAGCTCAGTGGATTAAAGGATTTGTTGTGGAATGGAATATGGATTAAGTCCTGACATTAAAAATTCTGCTATTAAACTCTAAGTTACAAAAGTTCCAAATTGATTTCTCAGCATCAAGGAATGGGTGGTAATAGGTGTTCCTTTGAAGACGGTAACTGTGCCTGATAGAACGTCTCATCCCGCATAATAATTGTCACAGAGCTGGCGACTTGTTTGTAATGAATGCATGGATGAAGCATGAATGTTTTCCTGGTCCCTCTTATCTTGCTCTATTTTCTCCCCAGCTCACTTATTACTTTTACTTCACAGCTTGGGGAAGAACAAGGTTCTGATACTTCTAATAACTGATGTATTGCCTCTTGGAATAATTTGAATAATGTATGGAAGAGAGCAATGATTAACCCAAAGCAAACAATCTTCAATCTATCCCCTCCTACCACATCATAGATATTTCTATCATGTACACATATAAAAAATAATCATGATATAGTGTAACATGCTATTTCTTTCTAATTGGACTGTGAGCTCCTGGAGGGCAGGGACCCCCGCCTTACTTAACCTTAGTTGGCATAGAGTCACCCACTGGTCTTCTTTAGCTGGTGCTGAAAAATTTATGTTGACTTGGGCTGAATTATAATGATGACATGGTAAATATTTTGGCACCTGAATTAGGGCAGTTTTTGAGATCAAAAGGCCTTTCAGTGTTTCTCAATTCTTACATTTACACTCTTTTTCCTCCTCCCAAGCTTCAAGGGATCCAAGGAAACAAAAGTTGCCCACACAGGCACTGGGAGAGGGAAGAGCCATGCTCCCCAGCTCTGGGGTTAGGGTTTGAGTCAGCGACAGGTTCGATCCCGGGTGCTGGGATGCCACACTTGAGTGACCTTGAGATGCATTTACTATAACAGGTGAACTCAAGGATATGTTGATTTCTTGACAACTTGGCCCAACAGTCATTGGACAAAGCAGTATTAGATGGAAAGAACGTTCTTTGTTTGTGGATTGAAGGGCTGATGGAAGTACAGGGGTTGTTCTCCAAGCTGTGAGCTGGGTGGTTCAAGGCACAATATGAAGAATGGACTGGGAGTTGGATCCTCTGAATCCGGAGAGAGAATCTGGTGATGATGGTGATGAAAATGCAGTGGTGCCCAGTTTATCCCTCCGGCAGGCGTCGCTTGGCCAGTGGGGATTGTTCCCACGGAAGCCATGGGTGGCAGAAGCTGGCTCAGGTGGAACAGCTTGTTAGCAAGGAAGACGCAGAGATGGCTTGTGTCGGGACCTCAGGTTTAGAAGGGGCTGGAGAACTAGGAACTAGGCAAATTGAGGTTGGAATTATGCCGAATCAGTGTCCAGCAAAAGACTTCTGGTTAATCTTGCTTCCCTGGTATAATGATATGTGGACAGCCGCGAATGTCCATAAACAATTCCCCTAAACTGCATTCGATTTGATTCTGCTATAAGGCCAACCTCCCCCAGTCGGGAGCAAGCAGGAGATAGAAGCGGTATTAACCTGCTTGGTTAAGAAATGCATTGCCTTGAGAGGCCTAGTATTATTTTACAGGAAAGCGTGCCCTCTCTCTATCTCTATCTCCATCTCGGTCTCCGTCTCGGTCTCTATCTCTATCTCTGTCTCCATATCTCTCTCTCTCTCTCTCTCTCTCTCTCTCTCTCTGGGTCCTCAAACTACGGCCCGCGGGCCACATGCAAATACAAATATTGTATTTGTTCCCATTTTGTTTTTTTACTTCAAAATAAGATATGTGCAGTGTGCATAGGAATTTGTTCATAGTTTTTTTTTTTAAACTATAGTCCGGCCCTCCACCGGTCTGAGGGACAGTGAACTGGCCCCCTGTTTAAAAAGCTCTCTCTCTATGCCCCTAAACTTATTCATGAAGAGCATTTCTGGTTTCTCTTTAAGAACATCTTCAACGGACGATTTTGTGTCCGCTGGTGCCCAGCTCTTCGTCAGCTTCTCTCTAAATTTAATTTTCCTGTTTCCTTTCCTTGCTCCACTGAGCCCTTCCTTAATTATCAGATTACCGTGTTCAGCATGATTCCTGGAATTGTTCGTTTTGTCAACCAGAAAGAAAACAGACCTCTGATGTATGTGAGGCTGTGCCTTCTCAGTCAATGATCCTCCAATTAGTGTCCCAGCCAATCTCAGGGGCCACGTCTACACTAACCAGTGAGCCCACTTCCCCTTCCCTGCTCCCTACTCTCTCTTCCACGACCCGCTCCATCCATAAACTGAAAAGCAGGGTTTGGGGAAACCCTGTCCTCCACTGTCCCGTGACTATCAGGTCAGTGTGCTTAGCTCTCTGTTTCGGTGAGTGTATCCCCATCTCTTTTTGTGTAGAACTTAGTGTGTGCACGTCCTAGTCTTTGCCACTGGGTGTGGCAATGACTAATTTCATTACTAGATAAGTGGGTGTGACATGCTGCTGTGCCCGGCCAAGTCGTTGGGTGGCTTCGGGGATGAGCCGCCTGGAGAGCCACAGAGCGCCCGCGACCAGAGGGCCTGCCTTTGACACACTGCACTGCTGTTGTCATTTTGAAAACCTATTAATTCTATCTTTGAACTTACATTTTGTAAGTGAAATTTGATGGGAAATGGAGCATCCCTGTGACGTATGCCCATCTCTCTGGCCACCTCATTTGCATATAGTGTGGGCGGTGCCCCATGAGCACAGGATTCTAGCATAGGCACAAGCCTGGATGTTCAGCAAGACAAAAGGTGGGTACCCGGTAGGCATGTTACACCCACAGCTGAGAAAGTGGGCGAACTGACAGCCCAGGGTGCCATGCTTTCCATTTGAACCAACTCTGCTTGCAATTGGAAGGGGGACAACACTAAGAAATACAGAGAACTGGGAACTGACGGAAACATGGACACTGGTCTCTGCCCCCAGGTCCCGGCAGAGGGCTCCGAAGACCCTTGGCCTTTCCCAAGTGATGGGAACACCAGGACCATCTTTTGTTCTAATACTTGGTCTTTGATCCCAGTTCCTGACACAGAGTTCCTAAGTCCCCTGCAATTTCCTGTGTGACAAGAGTCTTTTGTCCTAAGGGGTGTCTCTTGGGGGGCTTCCAGATAGCGTCAGGGGAGAGGCTGGGCACCTGAAAGATCCGTCCGTGAGGAGAAGCTTGGAATGTCCAGCTCCGTCCCCCGTCCTCTAGGAGTGGAGAGCGGCTGGAGACTGGCTTCGTGGTCCATGGTGCCCGTGTTTGCAGGTGCAATAGACATCCCGAGACGCGCCCCCATTCACCTATCCCTGTGGGCAGAGTTCCACATTCCCCTATCCACGGGAACAGAATTCCTTTGTTTGGGACCCTTTTAGACTTCATCCTAAGCATCTTTTTCATCTGAACGTTCATCTGTATACTTCATCATATTTTTAAAAAATAATAAACCAGTAAGCATGAAGTGTTTCCATGAGTTCTGTGAGCCATTCTAACAAATTATCAAACCCAGAGTGGGTCATGGGAACCCCAGTTTATAACCAGCCATTCAGAAATGCAGGTGACCATCTGGGGCTCTCCATCAGCATCTGAAGTGGAGGTGGGGGCCGTCTGGTGAGACTGAACCCTGACCTGTACGTTCTCTGATAGACAGTATCAGCATTGAGTTCCGTTCCAGGACCTCAGCTGGTATTGGAGAATTATTGGCATGGGGACGCCAGTGCGAGAAGTGCCCTGCGTGAGAGGTGAAGCAGTGGTTTTCTGTCCAGTGACCGAGGACTCATGCCAGGTCCTTCCTGCGCGTGTTACTTCCCTGTGTTAGCCACCCGCGCTGAAAGGAGGCCCTGGAGGGAAAGGGCAACAGGGAGCGTGCAGACCCTCCCCGTTTTGCCCCTTTACCCCCCAGGGAGCTCCGAGTGGGGGGTGCTGGCGGGCTGTGTGCATATCAGGTAATGAAATAAAAAGATTGAGTTCGTTTGTACAGTATTCCTACTGCTCTGCTAGGACAACAGAGATAAGCACGTACATGCTGCAAATGTGAATTGTCTGATGTTGTGGATTCTGCAATTGAGATAAATGCGATCACATTTGCATTTAAAACAGGCATGTACAGTGCAAACAGGAATGGTAAAATCCATGCAAATAATGAACAACTTAATTTTTTCTTTACTTAGAATGACTTTCAGCAGCAAATTTATAACTAGCACAAGGGGTCAGGAGACAGACGAGGCGGGAGGGAGAGAGTTGGCTTTAGCCCCTTCAATGGCCCTTGGTTCTCCCTTCGTGCAGAGGAAGCCCGAGTTTTCATTTCGCTCTGCGCCCTGCACGCCTTGCAGCCCGTCCTGCAGAACATCCTCAGGCTCACCTCTGTTGTTCCTCTTTATCGTGGAGCCCCCAAAGGGTCTGTGGCTCCAGGGAGAGGCTGAGCGGAAGGCTTCTCTGCGTAACCCCCCGTGTCAGGCTACCTCTGTACACTGACTCCGCTGGTCCGAGGTCCTTGTATCTTTCATCGTCCAGAGGTGGAGACTCGCTGGGGGAGGCCTCCTGCATGAGTCACTCTGCCTCCCCTCTCATCCTTTCCTTCATTCACAATCAGTGCTGGCCTCACGGCGCATTGGTTGCCTGGTACCCTTTGGAGTCAAACATGGAGAGAACATCTTTGCTTGTTTGGAATGAAGCCTCAGCTCTAGGTTACCCGCAGCTGAGAACACAGGGTTGGAGCTTCAGTTCCTGACTACAGGACAGCAAGGCTTGTAGAGGTCAAGGCCCTGAGCCTAGAGCAGCATCGCTGAGTGAGTGATCGAGCGAGCCAGTGCGTGTGTGAGAGGGAGAGGGGAGGGAGAGAGAGAACACGTGGCAGAAGAGGTGGGTGGTAATACTTTCTTCCTCTCCAGTTCTTTACAACCCACCTCCCCAAACTATGAGAAATTTCTAAAGATCATTTTCTTTATTTGAAGGCCATAGAGTATATATTCTAACCTTTAAAATGTTGATGTCTTTTGATTATAAAAGCATACAGTCTACTTTGAAAATTACAGAAAAAAAAGTATGAAGATGAAAGAAATCTATAATTTTATTATACAGTTAGCTATTGTTAACATTTTGGTGAATTTTCATTTTGTCTTTTTCTGTCTTCCTCCTTCCCATTCCCCTTTCTCTCCTATCTTCTTGTCCTTAATTTCCTTCCTTCCTTCCTTCCTTCCTTCCTTCCTTCCTTCCTTCCTTCCTTCCTTCCTTCCTTCCTTCCTTCCTTTTCTCTCTTTCTCTCTTCACTTTCCTCACTTTCCCCCTCCCCTCCCCTCCCCTTCCCTTCAATATCAAAAATATAAGTCTTTGTTTTACTATGGTTGAAAATATCAAAAAATTTCTATATGTGACACGGCACCAGAGTTAAGTTAGGGTTTTTTCAAAATGCTGACACGCCAAGCTCAAACGGTTCACCGTCACTGCCATAGAGTATATATTCTAACCTTTAAAATTTTGATGTCTTTTGATTATAAAAGCATACAGTCTACTTTGAAAATTACAGGGAAAAAGTATGAAGATGAAAGAAAGCTATAATTTTATTATACAGTTAGCTATTGTTAACATTTTGGTGAATTTTCATTTTGTCTTTTTCTGTCTTCCTCCTTCCCATTCCCCTTTCTCTCCTATCTTCTTGTCCTTAATTTCCTTCCTTCCTTCCTTCCTTCCTTCCTTCCTTCCCCCTCTCTGCCTCTCTCTCTCTCATATATGTCTATTATTGCCATTGGATTAAGCAATGACCAATCTGGAACTTGCTCCAGTTTTAAAGGTTAGATGATAATACAGTGAACTTAATCAATTGTGTGGTGACTGAGGATTTTAAATGACCCAAACTAGACTAGAATCAGTCAATCTGATATCTGTGAACAGAAACAGCTTTAATCATTAGAAGATTAATCAATAAGGTGTTAACATAACCCAATAAAGCAGGGAGAATTCAGATTAAGAACTTTTGTCATTTAAAGTCTCACCCCATTATCCTTTCCATGGAAGTGCCCTCAGGCTTTCAAATTAATTGCCTGTGGTTTAAGAAGATTTAAGATGGAAGGGATACACTGAGCAGAGAGCAAACTTGGCCTTGGCTATCTCAGTTTAATTAATCTCTTTATTCCGTTCACTCAACACCTGGATCAAAAAAGTAAAATCATGTTCTTTGGAGTTGAGAAACAATTGAGTTATCAGCAATGAAGGATGCAAAGCAGAATTCCTACAAGCAGACCTGAATGGGAAGACCTTTTAGACAAGGTTTAAATGCTTCAGTGACAGCCTCTTCTTCAGGTTCCCTGGGCCGGCCCTTCATCCCTGGGGGTTTGTGGGCATAAAGTTTTCTCCGTTAGACTTACAGCCGAGGCTGGCCTTCCGAAAACGGCCAGGTTCACAGAGCTTTTCCTTCTTTAACTCTGTGAGAATGTAGAAACCAAACCCTCTGGCGACCCCTGGGAAGTGTGTTTTCCCTAGCACCCCTTTTATTTTTATGTCGAAAACTCTTGAGCCTGCATTCATTCACTTACTCTAAGAGTTTTTATTGACCACTACTGTGCCCCCATCATCGTAGATGAGCAAAACCTACAGCCTGTTTCCTCTTGGAGCTCATTCTCTGGCGGAGAAACAGACAGTAATCAATTATATGATCAAAGTGAAAGGTGCTGGAAGGAGCGGAGGACGGTGCTGGAAACGCCTCTAACAGCCACGGGGCCACGGGGCGTCGGGCTTCCTAAGGTGGGCAAATGAGTAGGTGTGTGCCCTGAGAAGGGGCAGGGGAAGGAAGGGCCTTTCAGAAAAGGGAAGCGCCCTGGCAAAGGCCATGAGTGGAAGGAAGCAGACAGCCAGTACTAAGCGTGTGTGTCCTGGTCAGACTCACATTTACCAAGGGTCACACTGGGGACAGCGAGCGAGCTAGATGGGCCCTAGATCCGGAAGCTCTGAGCGCCTTGGGGTTGGTGGTGAGGTCCCTGCTGTAAACGAGCCCAGAGGTGACACAGATTAAAAATGTGGTTCAGGCTGTCGAATAATGTACCATATTATTTACAGGGAATTAGATTCAAACATGAAAATAAAAATGAAAAGAAATGTAAACAACTGCAACCTTCCATGCCCTAGGGACAAACCACATTCCCAGGAAAGACAAACAGCAGCTTCTCAATGTGCCACTCAGGGGCCCGTGTGTCAGACCAGAACGGGGTTGATCAGGTTTGGGGGACACACTGTTCTAGGGACCACAAAGGCCCAAGGGACAAACCACATTCCCAGGAAGACAAACAGCAGCCTCTCAATGTGTCACTCGGGCCTGTGTGTCAGACCAGGACAGGGTGATCAGGTTTGGGGGACACACTGTTCTAGGGACCACAGACACAGTGGCCAACAAGGATGGCGGCTCTGCCTTCAGGGAGCTCTGAGCTTTGGTGCAGACACGTGATCGGGTCCCTACAGCACAGTGTGACACGTTCCAGACAAATGAGCACGCGGGCACAGGCCGAAGAATTCCCAGGGCAGAGCACCCGCCTGTGTGGGCCCCGGGCCAGGTTCACGGAGGGCAGGGTGCTGACTCTGAGCGCCAGGGAGGGCCTGGACCTTCTCCAGGTAAATGTGAGGAGAAAAGCAAAGGAGGCAGGAAGACGAGAGTAGTGGAGGCTTATGGGACACTAAGGCCCCTGCTCAGCACTGCAGGGCAGCGTTTGGCACAGCTGGGCTGAGTGTGCGGTCACGGGTCTGTGACAGAGTGAGACGAGGGAGGATGACCAAGAGCACACACACACTTTCTAAGACTCGCCCACTCCCAGGGCTCCAGGAGTCCAGCAGTGCGCGCTCTCTGCCCGTTGGAGCTTACCTTCCCATGGGGAGACCACCTGCAGGCATAAGTGAAACGTGCTTTCAGATAGAGATCAGTCTTTGAAGAAAAGTAAAGCTGGTGGAAGAAACGACGAGGCTACGCTTTACTAGTAGATGCTGTGGGAGGCGTTTCCGCTGAGGCCACAGGCAGATGGAGACCGGGATGAAGTGAGATAACGAGTCAGGCCACTATCTGGATAAGGCTCTGTTCCCGGTAGAGGAACAGCAAGGGTGAAAGCTCAGAGGCAGGAACAGGCTTGCCATGTTTGAAGAAGAGCAAGAAGAGTGGGAAGAAGAAGGAGAAGACATGAGCATAAAAAGAGTTGGGACCCCACTGTGCAGGTCCCATCTCTGCTCCCCCTCCCCCAAACCCCCCTCCCTACCCCGTGTTTGGAGGGGCCAAGATGGGGAACTTGACTTCATTCCACGCTGCAAGAGAACACATCCAGCTCTGAGTTTCCCTGCGTGTACCATTTGGAACATCTGCGATGAGAAATGTTCTTTAAAAAACAGTTTTATTATAAAATAGACTCTGAAATGCAGCCCGCCGTGCTCCCTGTGGTGGATTCACTGTGTCTCCGCAGGGTGGTTCTCCCAGGAAAACCCCAGGCAGGACGCACGTGCAGGTTGGGTCTTTCAAGGAGTGAGCCCAGGGAAAAGGTGAGGACCTGGGGGAGGGAAGCAGGGGTGTTCAGCTTACGGTGTGTTCTTGAGTGAACTGGTACTGAGAGCTCTACAAGCCCCCATTCGGGGTGTGAGCGCTGGAGACTGTTACTTCTTCAGTGCTGGGCATTATTCTTCAATTTTGACTCAGGAGAAGACTGTTTTCTGTAGTTCCTTCATATTTCTGAGCTTAGAGTCAAAATAAAACTCCCCAGTCTTTGTCCCGTTGGTGGTCATGTGGCAACTCGCCAACGTGAAGCTGGAGCCCGCCCGCGGATGTCCTGGCAGCTGCTAGTGACTGGGTTACTGTAGTCAGGTCATTCTTGACTTTACGTATCTGTTTCCTCATTTAAACTCAGCCCTCAGAATGTCGCTAGATTGTTTTTATTCATTTGGTGTCTCTATGAGTGACTTTTAATGTATGTCTCAGCTGCTGCACTTGGGCAGTGTTTTTTAAAGACTTAAGAGAAGGCTGTTTAACCTAATTGAGCTTTAGCTTGTTAGGCTTGGGGTGGGGGAGTCCATTTTGGTGTTTTGGGTCTTTCTTTTGATACCGAATGGAGTGTTATCTCTCTTCTCTTCATTACACACGAACATCTTATCAAATGCTTCCCATTGAAGATATTGATAAACATAGAGCATAGATGTTCTTTCCTATTTGGGTCCTGGGAGAGAAATCTAGGTGACAGAGAATATTGCATTTCACAATTCTGTGCACTGTGATTAAGCACATATGAAATGAAAACAGGCAGACATCAGTGTCTGCTGGGGGAAACCAAGGGGCCTAAATACCAAGACAAAGCATAGAAATATATTTTTTAATTCTCAAAACAAATGAGTAGTATGAGTCCACAGGAGAGCAATTAGTGTGTTTTTATGAATAATCATTTGTGAGTAACAGTGGCAGACACTAAGATATTATCTAGTAGTTTGAAATCTAAGAAAGCTTTTTCATTTTATATTTTCTGTTAGTAAGCTTTAAAAACACACACACACAAAACAAAGTTTAGGAGAGTTTAAATATTGCCCAGAGCCTAGTACCTGCCAAACAGCTGCCTCTTCCTTTGAGTGTGGTTAAACGCCCTGTGGAGTGGTAACGTGCCACTCTTGACCTCCGTTTCAATGGAAGGAAGGATTCCATTATACCCTTTTTTGACTCCTGCTGTAATTAATGCGTACAAGTCAAAAGAACTGATTTACACTACCTGGGTTTCATAAAGAAGAGGAACTAAGTAATCATGAAATAAAAGCTTTATCTAAATACACAGTAAGACGCTCAGCAATGCTCACTCAGAGTGAATTCCTCAAAGGGAGGCATCCAGCCAGCATTCTAGTGCCAAGCAAATGCCCTGGCAGAACGTGATGTTGTGTTTTCTATCAGGAGACTTTGCTGAAAAGAGCTCAACAAAACGAGAAGTGTTTGAATGAAGGCCCGGTGAAAAGAAATGCAGAAATGCAACCTCTTTTTTATAGGGACCATCTTCAAACATCCCCACACACTTTAAAGGCATTTCAGTAACTCTGGCTTTATTTTAGAGTCTTCTCTCAACCTCACACATAAGCATCAGGAGAAAGACTGGTTAAATGTGTTTATTTTATGTCATCTTCTTGGGATGCTATCTAAAGCAGGTTTCTTTTATCTCCCCCCACCCCCACCCCCGGAAATCAGTTTGTGACACCATCAATCAAATACACTTAAAAATTCTAAAACTCTCCAGATATCACCTCCTCTTGTATTTTAGGTTTATACCAACCTCTGCCAAAGAACACCCTGAATATAAAGAAGATAAAGAAATATGGGTTGTGATTATTCAGTGAAGACAGAATGTGTAGGTTTTAAGGGAAGTCCAACAGTATTCAGTTAGGAAGTCACCATGTGTAATTTTCCTTCATCTGTCTTCTGAGAACTCGTAAATCTGTAGCAATTTCAAATTCCTCCCCTTTTAATT